CAGCGTGAGAGATGCTAGTAGCCTGAACTAGACTGGTGGTAGTGACATGGTTATATTTTTGGAGGCAGCATTATGTGAAAATATGAAAGAGACATGACTTAGGGAGAGGGAACAGCAAGTGCAAAAACTCGCTCATGTTTCTCTATTGGTTTACAAACAGAAGGAAGACCAGAGTGGTTGACGCATAGGCGTGTGGAAGAGAAGGGTGTGGAATAAGATCTCATCACATAGAGCCTTGTAGGACATGGCATGAAGCCTGGATTTTATTCTAATTGTAACTGACTTACATTTTTCATGGGATCGCTCTGGCTGCTGTGTGGGAGACCAGACTCTGTAGAGGGACAGAGTAGGTGGGAAACCTGTGGGGAGGCTATTGCAGTGAGATGGGTGAGAGATATTGGCCTGGGTTTGGATGGAAGCAGCAGACGTGGGAAAAGGGATGGATTTCAGAAATGCTTAGAGGGGGTGGTGGGTATAGCTCAGTAGCTCAGTGGTAGAGCACATGCTTAGCGTGCACGAGGTCCTGGGTTCAATCCCCAGTCCCTCCATTTAAAAAAATGCTTAGAGATTGAATCAGCTGAACTCTAGGTTTAATGAGATGTGGGAGCGTGAAGAAGAAGGTTTCAGGTACTTTCAGGCTCAAGGCAGGGGAGGGTTTAGTGGGATTGAGGGACTGAAAGGAGCCCAGTGTGGCTAGAGCTCAGTGAGGGGGAGTGCGGGGAGGTGAGAGAAGATGAGGCCAGGGTGGGAGGCACGAGCCAGCTGATTCATGGCCGGGTAAGGACATGGAAAGCATCTGAATTTATTCCAAGTGCCTTGGGAGGCTCCTGAAGGGTTTTAAACAGGGTATGACTTTTTTTTTCTAGTAAGTCACTTCGGCTTCGGTGTGAGGAGTAGGCTTGGAAGGGGAGCAAAGGAAGCCAGGAGATGCTTTAGGAGGTTATTGCAGAGGTCTGAGGAAGAAATCTTGTAGATGGCTACACCTGGACAGATTTGAGATTCATTTCAAGTGGAACCGATCAGTTTTCTTGAATTCAACACTTCCTGTATGTATACATCTGAATCTAAACCTTATTGAAGTTTTTATCTTCTCACCTCATTTATATACTATGCTTTTATTTCCTGTCTCGTTTCTAGAAAAACATTTTTCTAAAATATGTGAGTTTGCTGCTCTGATTAAACCCTTCCTTTCCATGCACTTAATTGCTTGGGAATTGGTGAGTTTGGGGGATTCTGAAATGCTGCACACGTCACCCCGTAAACCCATTTCGTTGAATGCGATCAAAACAATCAAAATGTAAGAACCATTTTATTCCCTTCAAATTACTGACTTTGTGGAAATAAACTACATTCAAATCTAATCGTTTCTTAGGGCTATTTACTTACTAATACTATAACTTTCAAAACCTGTTCAGTCAGCAAGCAAGTACTTAACATATTCTGAATTTGCTTCTTTAATAACTGAGGAGTCCTGACTTTTCTTGCACAGCTGGGACAGAACTGACTGGATGTCTCTGAAGCATTTGGAAAGGGTTGTTACAAAGCTACCTAATTACTTAATTACATAGCATATCCTATTTCCAACCCCATCACAATGCCAAATCAAAACACATTGCAAACTGGGAAACTTAAAGTGAAAGGTTTACCTCCAAGTACTAGGCTACATGCCATTCCTCCTCAGTGGGAGCTCTTCTCAGACTGGAGTTTCACCCTTCAGAAAACAGATTCTGCTAGTAGAAGGGGTATGAATGGACGGACTGGGTCCAGGAGTAAAGATATTCTGTACCCACATCATGAAACCATGGGAGGCAAGGAGTATAGAAGCATCCCTTAGGCTTGTTGAGGACCTTGAAGCTGGGCTCTAGGGGATGGGGAGGCACCAATATGTAAAGTGACGGGAGAGAGAATGTATTTGTACAACAGTAAGGGCATGGGCATCGTGTATTTACAGTGACAAGAAGGCAAGTCGCCCTTGACATCTGGGACCTGGCCTGGTACTACCCATTAGGCTGTGGTGTTTTCTTGCTGAACCTAAATAATTTCACAGAGCATCAAGAGTAGAGAAGGCCATTCTGTAACCATGAAGGACCAAGACAAAACAAGACCACTCCATCATTATGTCTGAACCCAGTCAAAATATGAACAGTACCCAAGCCACAAAAATGACCAAGCACCTCCCATCCTGGCCAACGTGAGTGATGGTTGCTTCTTCACCAATTATAGCTGTAGCTTCTGGATCATCTTCCCAACTTGCACGTAAGATGTATTTAGAAATCTAGTCACAGAATTATCCCCATTTTCTGACAGCATCCAAATCCAGAACAAAGCCAGCTAAAGTGACAAACTCAACCTGGTTTTCCGAAGAATCTCCTGGTTTTAGCACTGAAAGTCTAATGTTCCAGTAAGTCCCTCAGTTTCAGGCCAACTGAGATGGCTGGTCAATGACCTGCTTCCTTAAACTCTCCCTCAAATCATCTGAAGCCAGCCCGAATCCCGTACATCCTTTCTCACACCCTCTTATTGAGACACCCCTTTGTTGCCTCAGGTGTGCATTCTCCCTTTGCCGCAGTAAGTCATAGACCCAACTTTTTCAACTACAAATCTGTTCCTAGTGGTCTTTGGTTGGAGGGCATTGACATCAGTGAAAGTAAAGAGGCACAACATGGTGGAAAGGCTAGTAAGTAGTCCCAGAGGCTAGAAGTTGGGGGAACCAAGGAAGGAGGGAAGGGCCACAGCCCTAACGAGGCTAGAGTGTGGTTTTCTGAAAAGGTGGTTTTCAGAGATGATAAAAGATAAGGTGATGGAAGGTAAAGCCACGAGCTTTTGGAGGAGGAGGAAGAGTTGTGGCCCCACCCTCTGTGCCTAAACGAAACCCTAATGAAAGACAGTGAAAACCAACAAAGGTTCGCTTATATTATAAAAGGATGACTCAATCTTTAATGGTCTAGAGGCTGATCATAGAGCTTTTGTATCCATACTTCCTTCCCTGTGTTTGTTAACTGCATCATATAATAGTTTCTACATAAGGGAAATTTTTGTGAGGAAACAGTTCCAATGACACACTAGTTGACAGGTCTTATAACTGCAAAACACTTAACTTACAATTTTAATTCTTTGGGGTTGAGATCATTCAGTGTTAAAGATCAACAGTCATTAAATAAAATAAAGGCCCTAAAACAGTGCCTGACATATAGTAAATGGCAATAAATATTAACTACTACAATTACTATGATTATGCAGTGTGCTTGTTTTAAAACAGGGGCAATCCTGTAGTTTTTAAAAATGTTTTTGATTACATGTCCTTGATCATATTGGAAGTATATATTCAATGAAAAATTTAATTGCCTTGTTTCTTAAGCTCTGCTCATAGACATATATTCAAATGACTGTGTGCATGCCTTTTCGAGAGATTTACTGTAACTGGTCTTTGGTAAATCTTCTAAATTCAATGTCTAGGTACCTACTTTCCATCAGTTGTCCTCTACTGCATGTTGTAAAGCAAGTTTTGAAAACATGACTACTAGTTTGATACTGTTGATACTTTACAAAAAGCAGAGGAGTGAACAGCAGAAGGCGATTGTCCCCATAAAAGGAAACCTAGAATATTCAGAATCTCTAAGTTGAAACAGAAAGGAAGTAGGTTCCTTAGAACAGGTTTTAATTTCTAATTTTCAACAGAAGTCTGCCTCACTTTATTTCTACAAAAATAAGCGTTACTTGTAAAAATATAGGAACATGCCAGGAATGCTTACGGAGTGCTCTTCAAAACAATGTGTGCGCCTGAGTTCTGGCAATGTCCTGGATATATTTCAAAAAGTAGCAAGTAGAGTTTTGTACATTTACAATAATTTTGTACTGCTAAAGACCTTCTTACCTGGTTTTTCGATACCCAGAAGAACAAGCAGCTTGTTTTTCCAACGTTAGTACTAAATCGCTATGTTGTATATATACAACCTGGATGTTCCAATCACTCTACTATTCTTAACACAAATTTGATTTTCTCTTTACCAATTTTGAAATCTGTTTGAATTAATTTACATTAATTTTCTCGGAAGCCAAATTTCATGGTGATAATGCCAGTTATCCTGATACTGTGTTCTGCCAGCTCTTACTCTGTTTGAAATTACCATTTTCCCCCACTCTGGCCAAGTCTGGAGTCAAAAATCCTTATTTATACCCACACACAGTATAGAAAACTTGGGTCATAAGTCTACTTCCTCCCTGGCTTAAAAACCACTTATTTGGAAAGTGACATATTTTACAAAATGAATAAAATAAAAATAATACTAAAAAGTAAATTCTCTTACAAAGTTAATAAATTAGATGATTACATTTTCTTAAAAAGTCATAAAAATACATTTTAAGGGGAAGATTACTTTTGATGTGAATTACAGAGGTATTGTATTTCAGCCATACTGTTTTCAACATATAATGTTTCTTACAGAGTAGTTTCATATGTATTAGTCCCACAAACAGATTAAAATCTCATGCATACAGCAGATAGTTGAATTCTCATTTCTATAAACATTTTACACACTTACAATATGCTATTATCTCATCATAATAATGTGGCTTTGCAGTTACTGCACACTTGTGAATACCTACAACCTCTTTGTGTGTGTGTGTGTGAGAAATTGAATCAAACTGAAAAGCACAAATTAAGAATGAAATCAAAATATTTATGTTTTCTTTAATGTTTACAGTTAAAGGCACATTTATTAAAAGCAACTATATAACACACGCTGAGAAAACTAATAGAGCTAAGAATATCGTGAAAGAAAACAGGAACCACTTCAGGAATGGCTTTTGCCCTTGGAACAAATCAACTACGAACATTAAGTAATGGTAAAGTAATTCTGAGTTGTGCCGGGCAAGAAAATTTAAAGCACACTTGTTTTACAGCCTTATTCATTGCCAGATCCTAGAGTAATTCTAGATGGAATTATCATTTAAAGGTAAACAAAGACATTATCCCTCTTTGGGAATCGGTTATTACTTACCGAAATTTGCCATCTGTAACGTCTGGTTCTCAGTCTCCGGACCATTGTAAATCACAACAGCATCAGCATTTCTTCTGCCTGCTATTTGAATTTTTTCTGCAAATGTACAATTACCTCTTTCTATCAGCGCAATCCAGGGCTTCTTTGTATTGGTAAACTCAGTGTTGTAGTTACAAGCTTGGTAGTTATTGTTCTTAGGGATGGCCACCACCCCCATTGCATTAGCCACTGGTGAGGCTAGTCCATAAACACCACATTCACATGTCTCTGTTATAGTGTGGTTGCTGGTTTCATTGTAATAAGTCACAGTCACATAGGCTTTCGTTGAAAAAGACGCTGTGATTTTAAATAAAAAGGTAAAAATTACCAGCAGCCGAAAGCGACTAGACTTATTCTCCTGGCTCATTGCTCATTCCTTTGAGCATAAAATTTAAAATGTTTGCTGATACTTCCAACTACCAGTCACCATTTGTCCACTCAGGTCCCTGCTAAGCAGAAGTTTGAAATTTCAGTTGCGAGTGGGTAATTGATCTCACCTCTAGCAACGTAAGCTCTGAATACATCAGCTCTATTTCACTTTACTTATCTACATTCCCTTTTGCTCCGCCTCCAACTGTGCACACCTGTAACCCTTAACCACGACTACCTTAGCAATAAATAACACCATCAACTTTATTCTGCGTGTTAACTTATCAGGATTGGGTGATTTCCTGCACTGACATTTTTTCCTTCTTACTGTTCCAGTTAATGAACTTTCATTAACATGGAGTGGACTGGAATGAGGAACTGGACTCCTGGGAATCCCACGTGACAAGACTGAAAGTCACCTCTCTCAGAATCTCTAAAACACCAAACTGGTTTTCCAAGCCCTGCTAAAATATGCTATCAACCAGTTCAGCCGGAAGTAAGTTGAGAGCCATCATTTTATTGCTACGGTATTAGTAGGATTTATTTCACAGCCCTTTTTCCTCTTCTTTCTTTGTGGAATTTTTCTTAACAGGCTCCCCAAGGAGTATCTTCTGCTACCTTGTTTATTCATCGAAAAGTAAACATATTCCAGTTGCTAGAGATCCTTTCCTTTCAATTATATGCCTTTACCATGGTAGGCACTCAAATATTTGCTGATTGGTTGATACCTGAGTTGATGCATTCCATTAATTTTTATGTCCCGTGTGTTATACTGTAACAAAAGACAGCTGAAGGTTTATTTTTTAACATTTAGAATTTGTAATTCTAGTTCTTTCAAATGTATAGACAGATTTGTTTATTTCATTGCCTCCTTTATTGCAAGCTCTGTTTTTAATCAGGAGAACCTTGGACACTCACTGCACTTGGACATACATTGCTATGGGGTCAACTGGTCTGGGTAAGTTGCTGGGAAAAGGAGATTGAAGTATGTGCCAAGGGCTAGTGAAGGAGCAGATGAATGGACAGCAAGATAAACAGAGATATCAGGAGTCTCATTGGGCTAAGAGTCAGCAAACTAGATAAACAGGCATCAGGCTATCGGAGAAGCAGAAAGACACTAGGCCAAAAGGAAGGCAGGCACAATGATAGTCTGAAGTCCAAGGAAAATAGTCTGGAATCAGAAATACCACTAGAGTCAAGAGGACAACAAAAAGTAGGAAAATAGGACACACTATTGAAGGAGATGGTCAATAAATCTATTCCCCACACCCTGCCTCGCTTCTTTCTGTTCTTGGGCATCTGAGGTATTAGTGTTAGACCAGACCCTGAAGGTGGGAACCAACAGTTAACACCAGAGGAGGGGAGCTCAGGGAATCTGCAGTAGAACCTGATGAATAAATCCCAGCAGATGCACAATACAAATATAAACCTTTCTATCCTCATCGGGGTACCCCTCCCCTACAGACTTGGTATTAGTAGCAACATACGCATAATAATCACTTAACAATTACTCATGGAATTGAACTGAAAAGTTTAAAGGTCTGGTGTATTAGCTTATGGTCTACTTCAGAGTAAAGGCAAATGGTTTATTTTACTATTAGCACTACCACTTTGATGTTAAAACTCATAATAAGGTCTATATTCACTAGACAAAGAAAATTATCAAACTGAAAACAGAAGCGTTATCGTCAAAAGCATTAGTTTGCTGATTGCTAATAGACATCTGCGATAAATTCAACATTAGCATTCAATAGGCAATTCATTAGTAAAGTCCTAGAGATTTGATTTCACCTTTCTACCAGTTATTAAATTGCGTCTAAAGGAAAATCACTATGTGCTCTTAAAATGACAACTTTCTGTAACACTTTGTGGCAGTGCTGGTGTATTAAAGAGAACTTTGCTAAACTATTTTAAATTGCTCTGAAGGCTGATGTGCATGACTTTATATAGTAACCAGCATTATATGCCTTGTGTGTAAGTGCGTTTATGTTTCCTTTTATGGCTTTCAGAGAGTCATAACCTACAAAGATAGTTTTAGATTGTTTTTAAAATTTTGCAGTTAAATAAAATTAGTCCTGGAACAATAAATACCCATCAATGCAGTTTTCCTGTTAATGCTTAAGGTAATTTGCTGGAAGGCGAGTGGTCTAGTACTTATGCAGTATTTTAAAAATTTTGTCTGTGGAACATCAACATTAGACTCACTTGGAAATTGATTAAAAGTGAAGATTCCTGGGTCCGACTCCCAGTCAGCCTGAATCAAAATCGGAGGGAACTATCTAGAAATTCACATTTTAAATAGCTCTCCAAGTAATTCTTATGCACTTTACAATTTAAGAACTCTAGATCGTACAACTTGTACATGACAAACAGCACGGAATCGACAGATTAGCTGTTGTCATTTTATGTCAACCTCGCTGTGCTTCAACTTCCAATCTATAAAGGTTTGATGTTTGTTTGTACTTTAGGTCGTGCTCTGAACATTTCTGAAGTTATCTTACAAACCAAAAGTTGTGCAAGTGCTGACACTGCAACAGCTAGTGTTAGATCCTCAGGAAAATAAAGACCTCTTTCGGACTTCTTCTCCATTTACACAATGAAAGAAGTTGGATTAGAGTTGATCTCTCAAGTCTTTCCCAGATCTGATAAGCTAGAACTCTATAAAAATAGAAGTTGTTTTGAAACTATCAATTAAAAAATTTTTTCCTTCTTATCAGCACAATTCAGGATGAAGCTGCACTGAGGGTAGATGAAACGATAGCATCTAGATAGAAGGTAAGTTCAAAGTACTGGGTAAACCTTGAGCTCTAACAAAACTAACAAGGGCTTGACCCAGTACTATGTACCAGTGGTTTGCAAACTTGTCTGCACATTAGAATCACCTGAGGAGATGTTAACTGCCTTCATGCCCAGGCTACACCCCAATCAGAAACTTGGGGGGTGGCGGTGACACATAGGCATAGTAATTTTTAAAACTCCTCAGGTGATACCAATATGAAGCCAAGTTTGAGAACCACTGCTATGTTTCAAACATTTAATACTACTGGATTTTTTCAATTACTTAGAGTTTAAACCTTAATAAATATTAAGTATCTTAGCAAAGGCACATAATTAGTAAAGGCATAGAGAAGGGAATTACTCATCTCTTAGGCAAAGAACACTTCAAAATTTTCCATATGATTGAACACTAGCTATGGCAAACCCATCATTTAAAGATGAGGAAGCATGGGGCTGTGTTTCTAATTAAATGTAGGTTACCCTTTGATTATTCATAGCCAACTTCCAATTCTGGGCTGGGTGACTCTAACCTGCTGTATGTTCAAAAGGAATAAAAAATAATTTTAATATTAGCTCAAGTCAAATAAAAGAAATGACTGAGATCTGATATTACAACATCTCTTGACATCCAAAGTCAAATATGTCTAGGACCATACAACAGTAAAGATAACTGAAAGTCACCCATATTTTATTAGGTTCCTAAGATAGTGCCTTTGTGATTTGGGAGCAAAGAATTTTTTGTTAGATTTTTTTTCCTTTCAGCAGGAATTTGTTAAGAACTGCACCATTAGAATCAGGCAAAATGCCTGAATCTGTATTTTACTATGACCTCCAAAATTTATATGGACTATATCCTCTTCTCTGACTCTCATTTGTCATCTAGCTGGTCCCCTTGTTTTGTTTTGTCTCCTGCATTAGTAAGGTACCTGAAAAGGTAACAGTGAAATAGCAACCAGCTCAATTATAAACCATATTAATGGCTTTGAATAATAAAATTGGTTATAATCTATAGTCCATATTGGCAGAAGGCATCTAGCTATAAACATCAAATATTGTTAGTGTCACCAAATAAGGGTTTCTAATTTCTTAAAAGTTCTTTTCTTAATATGAATAAAATTAATGCAGGATAATTCCAAAAAAGAAATAAAAGTGGCAGAGAGAACACGTGCTCAGATTCTTCTTTTAATAGCCTACCAGAGGATTTCAAATGTGCAGATTTCATGTATCATGTAAAATTAGAAACTTCAGTGAGAGACTGTGGTCCTGTGGTAGACTATGGAATATTTCATAATTTACGAATTGATTTGTTGATACAGAAGTGACATCACAGTAGTGTATTTGTGTTGCTTTGGAATCAATGAGCACATATTGTCACTTGAAGATAAGTTCTTCTGATGGTAGTTTGCTATTTTTCCTAGGAAATGGCCACAGTAGCTATCCAGTTTTGCAATAACTGGAAATGTGGACACAGATGTTTAACTCCAAATATGGATAGAAACATTACTAAAATATAAAATACATCGCCATGGGAGTTGTTTTTAAAGATCCTAAATTTTAAAAAAGAGTTCATGTTTCCCATTCAAAATGAGAACAGAAATTACACCTGTTGAAGTATGTAGTTTTGAAATCGCAGCCTGAGGTTTTTAGTCAATAGCTTTTTAAGTATTAACTTTTCCCCTTCCCCAACATTTCTGTGGCATTAAAATTGAATTGCCTATTACACATCTGGCAGACTCTTTCCAGTTGAACTCAAGGGAGAATCAGAGAAACTCCTTGTGACTTCAAGCCAAGGAACAGCAACAAAAAGCACTGCTAAATCCATCGCCCAGCCAAGAACCCAAAAGAAACTAACAACGCTGAATCCCACAAACACAGAGCTGCTCTCTCTAGTGCTAAAAATGAGGGGCTAGGAGGGGAAAAGGACAATACTATGCCGAGCTCTGAGCCTTTTTAACAGCGCTGAGCCTTGCCATGTGTCTGCACCAGTTTAAAATCGAAGTTGGTTATCTCCAAAGCAGCATGGTGTTAAAGGACAGGCACCAACAGGCTGGATGGCCGGTGTGGCTGAAATCAACTCAAGGTGTTTTCGAGTTGTTCAGAGGACCAGATGGCCTCAAAGCAAGACTGTGGGCACATTTGCCCAGGTTTACTTCAAATTTTTACATCAGGCACAATTACTTATAGGGGAAAATGAGAGCAAAATACGGTAATGGAGGGTCCAAATGATTATGTGCCCTTTGCACTAGAAGGTTTGTTAGAAAATTACTGATAAACTTGCCATAGGCAGAATAGCAGAAGTGCTTCAGCCATTCACGTGTGTTCATGTGATTTTAGGTTGCTGTAGATTGTTTAAGACAACTTATTTTAAATGTAGAAAAAGATTTTGTAACTGCTTGCCATTAACTTGCTGCTAAATTCCCAGTGTATTGATTGAATCAAGAAAACCCCAGATGTTACTCCCCTAAAACTGAATTTCCTGTTAATGCTTAATATAGCTTAATACAAAAACCCAGATTCTGTTTGATAAACAACACTTTTCAACCCATATGGAAGAATCATACTGGCTCATTTAGCAAGTACATATAGGTCTACCAGAGGCCAAAAATATGGAGGCAAGACATCAAATACATTCAAAATGAAACAGGAAACCAAAAAGTTATTGTTTAAACTTCTTTAATAATACACTCAAAAGTTTAACACAAGAAGGATTCACTATTTTAATTAACATTTAAACTCATTTTAAAGAACAAAAGACTGAACACATTTGTGAACAAATTCCAGCATCTGTCTTGAGGTTCGTGAGATACCCAACACATTTAAAATGTATAGCATGGGAAATCACAGAATCACAGGCCTAGAAGGAAGCCCTACAAGTTAATAGCTTAACTGCAATGAGATTCATCTTGATACTGAATACTTTTTAATTCATGGTCATTTTGGCTTATGTAACTAACCACATAGATGTAACCACAGAGCCTTGCAAATGTGGGATGGCCAATTAAAGTTAACAATGAAGTAAAATAGACAACCAGAATAAATCAGTTCCCTTAGTACTCTTTCATACTTTCAACTCGAGCACTTAAAATGTTAAATTGAAATAAATTTTTACTATTTAAACTCACATTACACGTAACAAAATTACAAATGAACACAACAAGAATACAGACATACTGTAGTCTCTGGCTTAAAGATCACACACTGGTCAAAACATTTAGAAATTCAAAGGATATGAAGTTACACTAGGGGGTGGAAAACCTTAAGACAATTTAGTTTAGCATGCTCACTGTGCAGATGACCAAACTGAAGACCAAAGCAACTGGACCATAACAATCTATGTGTGCTTGTGAAAATGATAGAAACTGTTTTGTTGTGAGAAATGCAGGTTGACCACTTTAGGTGAATTTAATCTTCAAATTAGCAATTCAAACGTTCCCATTATAACTGAATAGACGTCAGAGGATGTTAAATGTCCATGGAAAGTGCCTCTTGTTAACTCAGGATGCCTTATGCTGAGGCTTTAGAATAAAAGTATGCTTTACAAATAGAATGGTGAACACAAATTACTATAATTCAAGATAACAGTCATATAGAAAGAAGTAAGGTAAATTTTCTTGATGCATAAAAGTGGCTTTGATGACCTTTTCAAAATGAATTTAGAATGAAGTGTGTTAGCTCCAAATACAAGACGAACATAAAGCAACTTAAGAGTTCATGTAATATTCTTGCTAAAAACCAGTTACTGAAATAACCAACAAAATGACAGAATATCTTTAAAGCTGTGCCCTCTTTATAATCTTTAATAATTTCATTTGGCAATTTTTAAGATGTATTATCTGGTCTATAAATTTTATGCAGATAGACTTCTGCTTTATTGTTGCCCAAGCTACAGATATCCAAGATAGCGATGATATGCGCTCTATCCATTTTACTTGCTGCTTTTATAACATCACCTAAAAGTAAAAAGCAAATAGTTAAATATTTACTTGGATTTAGTATCACATACACTGATTTTTTTCCCTTATAATTAACACTGTTCCTCATCTTCTCCCTCTTCCCTCCAATTCATAACACACCTTCATCAAAGCTATGTTACAGTCATTTCTGTTGATAATAGTGACTACATCAAACAGATATGGTCACCAAAAATGTCAAGATGTGGGCTGGAACGTGAAAGCCATATTTATTTATTTATTTGTTTGTTTGTTTGTTTGTTTAGTGGAGCAAAGTAAATCTACATATTTTCAAGCTCATTTATGTGGTGCCAAGTAGACAACTTATTGTTCCATTTCAAGGAAATACAAAGATAATTTTTTTCTATCTTGAAATTTAATTGTCAATTATTTGCAAAATTTACAAGACATAGAGCAAGATAAATATATGTCATTGAAGCTTCTTCTAAAGTATATTTCCTTTGAAGTGGCTTTATTAACTGACACTTAGCTTTGGATACTCTTAAGAAGCTTTATCAAAAATGGATCAGGTGCATGACAGTGATGAGAATGGCAGAGCAGGGACTTTCAAGGCTCTGAAAGCAACTTATAAGCTGGCAAAAACTCTCAGATCAACTTTTGCAGAAGTCTGGAATCAAGACAAAAACTTAACAACCAGGGGAAAGATTAATGAAGAAAGAAGCTTCTGCACTGCAGTAAGAGCGGTGTTTGACATTGCCCGCCTACTCCCAAGATGGGCAGCAGAATAAAGATGGCCGCTCACACTTTTGGTGCAGGTTTTTAGCTCCAGAGGGAGCAAAACAGACTTTATTCTCAAAGATGCGATTGTGTATTTTGACCTGTTCGGCAGCTCTCTCAAGGTCAGATGCAAGGGCTTGCTTTTGTTTCACCCAATTTGGAGCAGCCCCATGACTAGGGTAGCTTTCCAAGCGGCTTTTGTTGAAAGCATATAAAGGCAAAAGCACTGATCAGAGCAGCTGGTGCAGGGTAAAAAGTTGGGACAAGCAGTAGACAGATCAAAAAGCCTGGGGAAGATAGGGTTGGGAAAAGAGAGCTATCAGAGAGTAAGGGCTTTTAAGAGCTCCTATGTATCCAGGGAAATCAAGGAGGCCACATGTATGCTCAATGCTCGACGCATGCTTAGAAGAGGTCTGAGAAAACTCTCACTGTTCACCTCTGGCTGACCATCAGTCTCCACAGAGCAGGAAATGAGAGCTAAGACAGAGTTGTAAACAGCCTGGCTAAGCACGGAAGGGGTGCCACAGCACAGAGCCAATCTGCAAAAACTGGGAGAGTCATTTTTTCTTTTCTTCCTTTTCTTGGCTAAAACCATATTTAAGGAATCTTTTTCAAAACATTAACCGACTGCCACCAAACTACTACATCACAGACTTCAGTGGCTACACACGACAAATACTTCATTTTATATATGAAAAAACTAAAATACTTAAAAGTTAATTAACTTCAGCAAAGTCATAGGGTGATTCTAATCCAGAAGGTCTGGCATCAAGGCATGTGCTCTTAGCCTTTTTGTGCTAAAATGACGTCTCTACAAAATTGGCCTAACAGCCAGTGGTGGATCTAGGTTTTCTGGAGCCTGAAGCGTATGCTATTTGGAGCGCTTTTTTTATGAACAAGAATATGAAATACAAAGGAATACCAAAAGGGCTTTGGGAGGAACTGATACAAGTGAGAGCTCCTCAAGTTTAGGTTTCATTAGCTTCACGGGAAAGCCACCTCTGCTAGGCATGTCACAAAGTCTGATGAAGGATTTAAAATTGTGCAAGTTCACTAAAGCACAATTAATATAATAACAACTGCTGGTACTATATAATTTTCTTCTTCTTTGAGTGAGACAGACTTTAATCCAGATGCTTTGGAAAGATTTCAAGATCTTCAGATTTGATGCTAACAGCAGCGACCCAAATCTTAAAAACTCTAAGTGCAATCATATACTGACTTTTACAAATCATGACTTACGTAGTACCTGCAGCATAAAGGATAAGTAAGTCTTCTATATAGATGACTCTGCCTACTAATACTCTGAGCAAATGACAGTCTCTCTGTGCCTTAATCTTCTCATCTATTACCTACATCACAAGCTGTTGTGAGGGTTAAATGCATGTAGAGCACTTACAATGGTAGCTGATACAATAGTAAGCACTCAATTAAATATCAGCCACCATCATTTTCTATTTATGAAAACCTAGTATAAAATTAAAATGTTATTATTTACATCACAAAGGAATTATTTTAAAAGGGTTATAGATTTTACCTATACGATGAGCTTCTCTACATTTCACTTTGAATTGTTAGAATTACAAAAACTGTACATTTTTAGAAACATCACAAATGCACAACATGAGTGTGGCAAAGCCAATGCTACGTGTTCACCACTCCAGTTCCTCTCCATGGTCATGTGGGAGACAAAGTGTCCTGGCCTCCCTCATAGCTAGGTTGGGATCATGTAAATGAGTTCTGGCAAATGAAAATGTGAGAGGAAATGTTGTGTCACTTTCAGCCTGACACAATGAAAGGCCAGTGTCTCCTTCATCTCTTTCTTTCTGTGCCTAGACAACCCTAGAAGCCATTTGTTCCTGTTGTAGCTGCAACAGGATGGAAGCACACAGGACTCCTGAATCACCACTGGGAAGAAAGCTAATAACTGACTGCATCAGACTGGGCTTGAGCAAGAAATAAACTTTTACTGCGTTAAGTCACTGAGACTTTGGAATTGCCTTGGGACTGCAGCACAGTCCACCCTATCTTGTAATACACTGTGGTATTCCTGTCTCCGAAAATAATATGGGAAACCCTGATTAACTACAGAATAATAAAATTATTTCCTTACGTGTGTTAAGACCCTTCCATAACATGTTATGCTTCTGAAATGTTTATCAATGGAAACCATGCTTTCAAAGAGGTGGAAAGTGTGTATATACACATAGACACACGCACACATACACACATCCTTGTACATCACAGTTAAAGATAATACCAATTAGGATACCCTATCAGTCAGTCTTATTCAATAAATGATTTGGGAATTATGGCTAGCCCCTTAGGAAAAAATTAAGCTGGATCTCTATCTCACTCCCTATATCAAAATAAAATTCCAAATAGATTAATTTTAAATTACAAAAATGAAGCCCTATTAACAACAACAACAAACCCAAACAACCCAATTCAAAAATGGGCAAAGGACTTAAATCAACATTTCTCCAAAGAAGATATACAAATAGCCAATAAGCACATGAAAAGATGCTCAGTGTCATTTGTAGTTATGGAAATACAAATCAGAACCACAATGAGAGACCACTCTAAGAGGGCTGTTATCAAAAAGCAGAAAACAACATGTGCTGGTGAGGAGGTGGAGAAATTGGGATCCTCATGCATTGCTGGTGGGAATGTAAATGGTGCAGCTGCTGTGGAAAATGGTTTGATGTTCCTCAAAAAGTTAAATATAGTATTAGCATATGACTCAACAATTCCACTCCGTTGTCAATCAAAGGATTGAAAGCAGTGACTTAAACAGGTACTTGCACACCAATATTCATGGCAGAATTATTCACAATAGCCAAGAGACAGAAATAACTCAAGTGTCCATCACTAGGTGAATGGATAAGCAAAATATGCTAGATACATACAACAGAACATTATTCAGCCATAAAAAGAAGTGAGATTCTGGTATATATTACAATATGGATGGGCTTTGAGGATAAAGTGAAATAAGCCAGCTATAAAAGGACAAATACTGTATGACTTCACTTATATGAGGAATCTAGAACAGGCAAATTCATAGAGACAGAAGGTAAGAGAGGTTACCAGGAGCTGGGGAGAGGGAGGAATGGGGAGTTACTGTTTAATGGTACAGAGTTTCTGTTTGGGATGATGAAAATGTTCTGTAAATGGATAGCGGTGATGATTACACAACTTTGTAAATGTACTTAATGTCACTGAATTGCACAGCTAAAAATGGTTAAAGTGGTAAATTTTATGTTCTATATATTTTACCACAATACAAAGTATATATGACTAAAAAAAGCAAAGCTTATAAAATTATCAGAAAAAACCCCACAGTGAATTAAAAAAATAATCTTGGACTGAGTGATGCCTTTTTGAGTATGACATAAAAACCAGCAGCCACAAAAATAAAAAAATTGATATATTTGAGTACACAAAAATAAAACTACTTAAAATATCAAAACAATCTTCCCATTGAATAAATGTCAAACTGGGTAATAGTATTTGCAACACACAATAAAGGGTTCATTTCTTTTAATATGCAAAGAAAAGTTACAAATTAATAATAAATAGCTCTTACAGAAAAATGGGAAAGAAAACTAGCATAGAAAGTTCATAGAAAAAATATAAATGGCCGACAAACATATGAAGATGTTCAAGCTTAGAAATAATTAAGAACTGGAAATAAAAATAATGATTTAATACTTCTTTGCCTATCAGTCTGCCAAAGATTAATAAGACTGACAACACCTAGTATTTCTCAGGGCGTGAGTAAAGTGGCACTCTTTGTTTTAGTTAAAGTGCAAATTGGCATAACCTTTTTGAAGGATATTTTGACAATATCTACCAAAATTTTAAATGCATAAATCTTTTGAGTCAGTGGCTTCTAAGAATTCCTCTTACAGAGGTATAAGTGTGCAAAGATTATATATACATATAGATGGACAGATAGAGAGATACTCATTGCAGTACTGTTTACTAATGGCAAAACCATTTGGAAACAATCTAAATGTCCATCAGTAGGATACTGATTAAGTAAATTTTGACATATCTACACAGTGGAGTATTTACAGTTACTAAACAAAAGAGGTAGCTCTCTATATACTAATATTAAAGCTATCCAAGATACAGTGTAAAAAGGAAAAAGCTGGTTATAAAACCGTATGTTTACTATAATTTCATTTGTGTGTATTTAGGAGTGTTTGTGTGTGTGTGTGTGTGTGTGTTTGAGAGAGAGAGAGAGAATATATACTGTTATATGCAAAATGATTTCTTAAAGGATTCGAAGAATACTGGTTATTTCCAGACAGTGGGTGAGTGGGTTGGCAGAAGGGATAAGAACTTTCACTTGTACCCTATGCCTTTTTGTATTGGTTGAATTTTAAAATTATGAACATGTAGAGCTTTTGCAATAAAAATGAAACTAGTGCATAAAAATGTTTAAAAGATGACATCAATGCTATTAGCCACTGCATTACATTATACTGTACCTATTTTTGTCTTTCAGTTTGCAATTATGGAGGGAATAGAGACGCTTTGAATCAGATAGTTCTGGGTTCAAATCCTAGCTGTTACCCATGCTGGTGAATCTCTCTGATTTTCAGTTTCATCATCCATAAATAGGGGATAATGCTTCCCTTGCAAGGCTCTTGTTAGGGTTAGTTGTAACTTATGCAAACTGTCCAGGCACAATGCTTTGCACAGAGCTAATTATGTCACTATTATTATGTCATGAAAAATATGGTATTTATCACATGTTGGAAATGAATCCCTTTACTTTTGATTATCATATCACTTTTCTCTTCCAGCGATTCTTGCTCTTCATGTCCCAAATTGTAACTGCTTTGGTAGAATGGTACCAGGTATCGTTATGTGACCATGTTGGTGACTGCTGGAAGAACACTGGCACTAGCAACTAGTAGGTAGCTGGAAATTTTGCCTTGATATTTTATATCAATAGTGACATATACATACAGCAGAAGAAATGTGACAGAATTGGATATTGAGTGAAGCAAGAACTTGAGTGCACAGATATTTTAAGTATAGATTCGGGCACTAATGAAGAAATCTGGAATTTCTGGAAGTCTCATGAGCTGAAACGTAGGAAGTAATACTGCAAGTTAACAAATACATCATCTCGAAAACAGACTGTGGGAGAAAGAAAAAAACCTCATCTTTTACAAAATTAGGTAAGTTCAGTCTGCAGTAACGATTACTTCCAAAAGTTACTTCATTATCAGGCACTGCTCAATAAGACTTGTTTAAAAACAACATACACTCAAGAGTTTCATCAGCTTAGAAAGACCCACCAAAAATCCCAAGATAATAAAGGCTTTCTTTAAAGCTCTTTTAAATGTAATATTTGTATAAGCCCAACAAAAATGGCTAGAAACTTTCCCACCTGCTTAGGAAGTAGAAATGACGACAGCAAGTGAATAGGGTAATTATAATTGGACACATAATTTTACAGCTATATAAAAATGATTTAAAGTTTGGTGGAGTATGTAGCAGCCTAAACAATTAGTTGGTTGAAGAGTTTCACTATTGGGATTGCATAGGCTCCCAGAAGTCCTCAAGGAATTTATTGCATAGCACTTGAATAACTACACATTTATGAAAGAAAACAATTGCACTGCACTGTACTGTGGCGGTATTGAAATTTCAGGCAATCGTAAGGTGAAAGGACAAACTGTCTCGCCTGAATGAAAAGGAGAGAAGAGGAGAAGTTGCGCTGCTCCATGTGCATACCAGTCAGGTCTAATGAATATTACATGTGTATTACATTTGCAAATGTGTTATAAGAGAACATTCTTAATGCCTGCCTGAAATAGAAACCATTCACCTATTCAATTGTATTTAAAAATATATTCTCATTTATAAGTCTTAGGGTACATTACCCAAATAACTCTTTAAACTGTATTAAATGTTAAGGCTAGAACTGTTTCTATACTAACATCTTAAGGTTAGGACTGTTTGCAGTTTTAATTTTATTTTCTGAGTAAAAAGATACTGAGATTGTCTTACCTGCAAGTGCTCTTGGACCTGGCAATCTGTCACTGCCAGTTACTTGCTGTGAATACACACAGCTATAATTCATGCAGCTTAATAATGTGGCTATTTGAGATGCTCGGAAATCTTCTGGAGAATACATGGGGAGGAATGCAACATCGATGGCTATCTCATGGTTCAGACCTGTTAGAGAAAAATCACATCTGATTAGAAGTGCAGGGGGTTAGTACATAGTGCTAACGAGGCCAGGTTTGCTGGTTTGATCCTCATGTGCACCAAATAGCCTCACAACTATAATAAAAAAAAACTATTTCAAAACTAGGGACTAAACCCTTTGCTGTGCAATATTTATGAATACATGCTATTCGTTGAAAGAGGAGACATTTCAGAGCACTCTGTCATCACTACTAGAGATAACAATACCAAATGTTTTACATATTGATGGAAGTCTTAAATTTTAATATCCAGAGGACAGCCTGGTCACATAAATGAAGACATGTAAAGTGTTTTCTTCATCATTCATGACATGTGCCACTACAGGATAGCAGAATTCAGAGATGATTTACTGGTTCCCTTATTGCCATTTGGACTTAAGGATCTATGACTCAGGCAAGGCCAGGGATGGTAGTAGCAAGGTTCCATCTGTCCTCAAATATACAAGACAAACTTCAATCAGTCACCATTAGGGCTATAAAAGTTTGCAGTACAGGGGAACAACTAATGTAAATCCTGATCTCTGTGTCATTTCTTTATGTGGGTCAGTATCTACTAGATGTGGATAAAAAAGACTTCCTAGGGGCAAGGGTTTGAGCTTGGGTATTAAAGGATGAGTAGCATTTAAAGACGCAGAGAGAAGGGTGTTTCAGGCAGGGCAGGGATTAGCCAAAAGTATAGAAGAGAGTAAGGAGACCATCTTGGCTGGAGCAAGGGTAAACACATGGAGCACAGCCTGAAAACTATGAATTCCACTCAGTTATCCAAACCAGAAACCTAGAAGTTACCCTCAACCCCTCCCTTCTGTTCTTCCCTGATACTTAGTCAGCAAGTCCTATAGATTCCATGACCTGAATTATCTCTCTTATTCATCTCTACAGCCATTCTTAAGTACTGCATATGGGCCAGTGATAAGTAAACAAAGTCCTTCCAGTTAACCTGTAAACTGATCCAGAAATGCAAGTCCATGCTTTGCTTTTTATGGGCAAGTGACACTAAATTCCACAGCTTTAACTTAACATACAACTAGGGGCTACTTAAAGCTTTTTAAGGATTACTTAAACTGAAATAGTCATACTATCTAGAATTAACTGTGGATTTCAATTCAGTATTATAAGAATTATAACTACTTCATAATTCTTAGCAATGCTTTAAAGCTCATGTAAATGTACACACTCTGGGATCCCATTTCCTTGATTCAAATACCAAATCTAATTCTAAAGATATACCATCAATATAATGACAGATTTTTAATGAAAGGGAAACACTGCATTAAATGTACCCATGGACCATAAGATGCATTCCAACTTGCAAATGTAAAAAAAAAGTATGCCTTAAATTGAGAAAATATCAGGAGTTGGAAATCATGATATTTTTCAGGAAGGTAGCTTTATTACCAGTGTCATTGATAGTATTTTGAGTCGCTTTCTAAATTATAGAATACTGTGAGTTTAGTGTCAACATATGAGCAAAATTTGTCTTGAGTTGTTTGGCTAAAACTAGGGTTCAGAGTGCAAGTGTATAAGCAAACATGCCTTAGGGCCTCTGTACCTGATGTTCCTGTATGTAGAATGTTCTTTCTTTCCCCAGATAACCACACGGCTTGCTCTTTCACCTCCATCAGCTTTCAGGTGAAATGTTACTTTCTCAGAGAGACCTCCCCCGACCACTCTGTTTAAAATTTAGCCCTTTCCTAGTACATTGCTCTTTAGCCTCTTTCTTCTACACTTACCACTGTCACATTTTATCATAAGCTTTTTTATCTGTTGTGTTCACTCATGTAACCTCAGCACCTAGAGCACTGCTGGGCACGTCTTAGGTGCTCAGCAAATATTTGTTAAATTGAGGAAATGAAGGTATATGTGTGTATTTTTAACCTCTAATTTTCAAATATTAGACTTTAAGACATTTGTGCATTGTGTTCAAATATGAATTCATCTATATTCCTGAAATAGCAGAAGAGATGAACACAAATATCCTCCCCACGATGTGTGTGAATAATGCACTTCAATGGTGACTTATTGTTTGTGTGTTACTTAAGTAACTTACAACATACTATCCAGGTAAATGTGATAATTTATCTGGACTATATTAAAAATTATACAGAAATATAAAATCAAATAAATAAGCTCATATTCCTCTTTTGTAAAGTGTACTATATGCAATTTATATATCCTCCTCCAAAACTCTTTGTTACCACTGAATTTCTTTTCCAATGAAAAGAGTGTGTGTGTGTGTGTGTGTGTGTGAGTGTGTTGGGGGGCAGCATGATTTGTAATCCCAGCACCTAGCATAGTACTTGGCATATACCATATTTTGTGGAATCTAAGATACCATTGATTTTAAGATAATCATTATTTTATATACTACTAAGAAAGAAAAATGGCACCAACTAAACAAAGGCATGGCATCAACTGTGAGATCCATAACAATTTTCAAAGATGCTAAAACACAGGAAAAAAGTGTCTTATGCTGATAAAATTTGATAGTAGGTACTTAAGGTTTAAGGGTTAAACTACTCTTATTATGCAATGAAATAAGGGAGAGAATTAAGGCTGTGGCAAGAGTAACCAGCTCTGGAACCCACAGAATCCAGTGTGCTGCTCCATTTGAGATACAAGAATGGGAAGTAACTCGGTGGGATAGAATATCTTGAGGATGTAGCCAGTGAGGGAACCAAGAGTGAGTGAATGCAGTGCTACTCAGTTAATTGTTCAAGTAGGCTTCAACCAAGGAAGGCAGGAATTATTTTGGCCTGCTTGGTTGCTTTAATAGGAGAAAAAAAATCAAGATTAGTTAAGCCTTATTTTTCCATGTAACTACAGTGTATTAAATTACTCTGATGTTACAATTAATGCTATTAACATTTTAAAATTATCATTTAAATGCATTTTGCAGAAAAGGAGAAGAATCATATAAAATTTTTTGACAAAAAAAATCTATAAAACACTATTTTAACAGCTCTCCTTAAATTATACCTATTGTTACTGGGGTTTGTATCTCTTGATTTCCAAGAGACAGTTGGCTTTCAGAGGTTTATTAAAGGCTGGCTGAATAATTATGTTCCTCACTGTCTAAGTCAAATGCAAATGTAGGCTTTAATTGACTCATAGCATTTCATGGGTAACTACATTAGTGTTAGCAAAGCCAATGATATACTAATACCATCTATGATTCCAGTCAAGCTTTTGAAAAGTGTCTTATTTTTGGTTTTTGTTTTGTTTGGGGGGGGTAATTAGATTTTTTTTTAAATGGAGGTACTGGGGATTGAACCCAGGACTTCATGAATGCTAAGCATGTGCTCTACCACTGAGCTATAGTCTCCCCTGCGTCTTCCTATTTTTAAGGTGAGAAATAATTCTTAAAATTGATCAAGAGATTTAAAATTTTGTACCTGGGCTAAAGGCACTGAAAATTTAGTCTGTTACTTCATCCCAATATCTTCTCTTTAAAGTGTGTGTTATTACATAATAGGCAGTGGGCTGAGATTTTACCACTAACTATTCATTTGAGTCAAGTGAGATGGCATAACAAGAATTTTTAACACAAGAATTGGTACTTCTAGGGTAGGCTTCTGATATCCCCACAGTACCCAGTTGGTTACTGGGAACCGTTAGAACTGTGGAAAGGAAGATCAATAATTTTGTTCAATATTCTCAATAATGATTCACCCTAGACCAGTCAGAGCTAATGACTAAGTAACAGGGTTATGGTCTGAATAATCTTTCTGGATCCCAGAATAAGATACTTTAAAATTACTAGGTCCTCCAAAGGTCAGCAAGATACAGCAGAGAGATAATAAACCACTAGAAGGTACAATCAGTGTAGGCTGGACAATCTTCATGTTGGAAGAACTTTAAAAATCCTACAGGTTTATCTGCCTTGATTGGTTTAGTCAGTTTTATTTAAAGACAGGAGTATAGAACAGGGGTCAGCAAATTATGAGCTGGGGGGCAGTGTCAAATCTAGTCTCTACCTGGGTTTGTACAACCCATAAGCTAAGAAACTTTTTTTTTCATTTTCAATTGTTCAAAAAAATTGAAAGAATATTTTGTGATATGTCAAAATTATAAGCAATTCAAGTTTGTGTCTATAAATAAAATTTTATTCAAACATAGCCATGCATATTCATGTACATGTTGTCTATTTTTTGCAAATGACATGATACTATACATAGAAAATCCTAAAGATACTACCAGAAAACTACTAGAGCACATCAATGAATCTGGTAAAGTTTCAGGATTCAAAATTAATATACAGAAATCTGTTGCATTTCTACATACTAAAAATGAACTATCAGAAGGAGAAATTAAGGAAATAATCCATTTACCATTACATCAAAAAGAAAAAATACCTACTAGGAATAAACCTATATAAGGAGGCAAAAGACCTGTACTTGGAAAACTGTAAGACACTGATGAAAATTGAAGAGCACCCAAACAGATGGAAAGATATACCATGTTTTTGGGTTGTAAGAATTAGTATTGTTGAAATGACCATACTATCCAAGGAATTCTACAGATTCAATGTAATCTCTATCAAAATACCAATGGCATTTTTCACAGAACTAGAACAAATAATTCGAAAATTTGTATAGAAACACAAAAGACACCAAATAGCCAAAACAATATTGAGAAAAGAAGAACAGAGCTGGAGGAATCATGCATTTCAGACTATACCACAAAGCTACAGTAATCAAAACAGTGTGGTACTGGCACAAAAACAGACACATAGATCAATGGAACAGCATACAGAGCCCAGAAATAAACCCATGCACTTATTGTCAATTAATCTACAACAAAGGAGGCAAGAATATACAATGGAGAAAAGACAGTCCCTTCAATAAGCAGTGCTGGGAAAACTGGACAGCTACATGTAAAAGAATGAAATTAGAACATTCTCCAACATGATATACAAAATAAACTCAAAACAAATTAGACCTAAATGTAAAACCTGAAACATAGGCAGAA